CGTCGAGTTCTATCAGAAGCTACCCTAGTTTACCTTAGAAGCACTACCTTGGATTTGCGCCATGCACTCGACTGTCATCTCAGAAGCTCATTTCATGTTGTTGCCTGCATGTAGTGTGTATCTAATCCCGCTAATAAGAACTGGCCGCTACACAGAAAGATGTGTCTTAAAAGTCGCCCCAGAATGCGCCAGGCACTCTACCCTGGCCACTTCATTGGATGTAATTTTTCCAGATCTTAGATTTCTACACCAATTTGAAATGCTGAATGACTAGATATATAGGCCCTGCACTCAAAACCCCCTTCTGTCGCGTTTAAATGAAAACCATAGATCAGTTTCCAGTTGGGTAATTAGAGGTATTTCGTGAGGAAACCCAATGTTTAAGGTAATGTTTTTTGGAAATTTGAAAATTTAGCGACGAAAACTCCTCACCCTTGTAGAATACCCTCTCTTCTGTGTAGAAAAAAGGTAACCTACTTGATCGCAGATGAGTGCTCCTTTCGTTGTGTGGCCTCAAACAGCCTTCTGCGCCATGCTCTACTAGTGAGCTAGGTTTCCTATAGCCTTTCAGACGCGGTTACGAAGCCGATATGCAAACTTTTCGATTCCTCAGGCGAAATGCTATCGAACGATATACAGCTCACTTCGTCAAGAACACCTAGGTTACCTGCCACTAAATCCCTTGTGTGAATTTCCCAATTTTTGAAGGGATGTTTTGAAGAAATCCGAGAAGGGAGGGACGGGCACACTTTCCTATCGTAGAGTACGTTTACTTGTGTGTTGAAAAAGGACGACATGCTTGGGCGTAAGAGAGTGTTTTTTCCCTGGTGTGGCCTCAAACATCGCTTTCCGTCACGCCCTGAAATAAAAGCCAGATTTTTTGCTCTTCCAGATGACTCTACAGAGCTGAGGTGTACACCATTCGATTCCCCAAGCAAAATGCTATCGAATGGTATACATCTCAGTTCCCACTCGGAACTTTCTTTTTTCACCGTTTTCGGCCTTTTCCTTATTGCCGATCGCCGGCACAACTGCACTATTGCAACCCCAGTGGGGGGGGGGGG